GTCACTCAAGTGAATATTCTTCAAAATGAAGTCACTCGAGTGAATATATGCCTCAAAATGAAGTCACTCGAGTGAATATATGCCTCAAAATGAAGCACTCGAGTGAATATATGCCTCAAAATGAAGCACTCGAGTGAATATATGCCTCAAAATGAAGTCACTCGAGTGAATATATGCCTCAAAATGAAGTCACTCGAGTGAATATATGCCTCAAAATGAAGTCACTCGAGTGAATATATGCCTCAAAATGAAGTCACTCGAGTGAATATATGCCTCAAAATGAAGCACTCGAGTGAATATATGCCTCAAAATGAAGTCACTCGAGTGAATATATGCCTCAAAATGATACACGCTAGAGTGATATTCACTTCAAAATAACGAATGATAAATACTATATCTGGCATTATTAGTTATTACCATTTAATACATTTTTTTAGAAGAAAATACAATAATAAAACCAAAACCTAGTATATATATTATTGATAACATTAACAACCCCATTTTATTTAGTAATTACTAACTAATAAAACGGAATGTTGTAAGATATAGAATACTAACAACTTAGCCGTGTTTTATCATCCTAACTAAAGTATATTTAATTACATCTAATTACATCAAGCCAATCCGTATGCTTGTATGCTAGGTTATATTTGTGTATATTGTGTTATATTATTGTTATTTATTGTTATTATTGTTGTTATAATTGTTGTTATAACTAGGTTATACCGTTGTGTACTAAGGTATATTGTTATATACTAAGATATATTCTTGCATACTACGATATGCTCTTGTATAGTAAGTCATATTTCTATATACAATCTTTCAAAACCATATAGTAACTCCCTGGAAGAATAGTAGGATCAAAAATGACTTGGGTCTTTATGTTACTGATCAATTAGAACTACAATATAGGGGAGTAGTTCTGTGTTCGTCGTAGTATAGGGAACGAGTGTATATGAGGAGAGATATTGAGTAGAAGACTGAAGACCTGAGCATACACCGAGGTCCAAGCTAGCATACGCCGCAGATGTAATTCTTTTTATGTGGGCTTCAGGAGACAGGTCTCGATATAAGCTTAGCGGGTATGAATACACTGGCTTCCTGTCCCTCCGACACAATGAATTATTATTATTATCTCTAACTTATATACTAGATTATCTCTAACTATATACTAGATTATCTCTAACTTATATACTAGTCTCTTGCGGGTTACTGTGTCAAAGGCAACTTATATACTAGTCTCTTGCGGGTTACTGTGTCAAAGGCTTTCTGGCTACCCAAAAATATGCGGTCTACCCACCCTTCTCGTTCTTGACTTATGTTTGTAGGTGTGTGATGATGAGGGAGGGGTCCAGGAGTATTCATCTAGTTGTGCGTGCGGGGGTTGAGCTCTGGCTCTTTCGGCCCGCCTCTCAACTGTCAGTCAATCAACTGTTACTAACTGCTAACTTTTTTTCACACACAAACACCCAGGAAACAGCCCGTAACAGATGTCTAACTCCCAGGTACCTATTTACTGCTAGGTAACAGGGGCATCAGGAAAGAAACTGCCCATTTTGTTTCTCGCCGGCGCCGGGAATCGAACCCCAGTCCACAGGACTACGTGTACAGCGTGCTGTCCACTCAGCCACCAGGGCCATAGGAGTATGGCGGTGATGGTGAGGGATGGATTCAGGAAGACAGCCGAGTAATCTATTTGATAAACGCCATACCTTCACTTATTTTAATTCAGCGAGAGTTATTCTAAACCTCTAATGCTTCACTGTCGTCTCACGATCACCTCACTATCAACCCTCTGTCTATGCACTATTGCTATACTGGTCGTACTCAAGTCACGAGTATAGCAGTATACATACTGCTATACTCAAGTCACGAGTATAGCAGTATACATACTGCTATACTCAAGTCACAATCGACTTGAGAATGGCCCAGGACGGACCGAAACGTCGTCGTCCCTTCACCTTGTAGTGTGTGGTCTGGTCAACACTATTGCTATACTGTCGCCCCACTGGTGTTCCTGGTATGTGTGTGGTATGCGTGGTGGGGAGTGGTACCAAACAATGGTGTTGGGATGGTCTATGGGCTGGATTTGTCGACTGCGTTATTACGTCTGTGTCTATATTAGTTACCGCTGTATTGTGTCGGTTTTCATTAGTTGGAGTGGGAGCCTTCATCTGTTTTCCCGCTCTCTCGCCCTCTCTCTGTCTGTATTCACCTAGTTGTGCTTGCCTGGGGGGTTGAGCTTTGGCTCTTTAGTCCCGCCTCTCAACTGTTAATCAACTGGTGTACAGATTTCTGAGCCTATTGGGGCTCTATGATATCTACATTTGAAACTGTGTGTATAGAGTCTGCTTCCACCACCTCACTGCCTAATGCATTCTGTTGAGTACTCTTGGCACTGAAAAAAGTTCTTTCTAAAGTCCTCTGTGTGATTTACCGTGTGTCTATATCGCGTCTTGAACACTGTCTATAGCTCTCCCTTCTCTCATTCCTTCAATTCCTTTCACTGCCTAAATGACTCCATATTAGCTTATTTCATTCCTCCCACCATTTTCCCTCTCTTCCATCTCCCTCCCTCCCTCCCACTCTCTCCCTCCCTACCTCCCTGCCTCTCAACTCCCTCACCCTCTCAAGCAGAAGGACTGGAGCGGTAATCCTTGTTCAGCGTCTCCACTCTACTTAATTCTTTTGGAGAAAATGTTCCTTCCAGCACAAAAGAAAGTTGAGTGGGTTTGTCCGTCTGGTCTGGTGGTCAGGGAGTGTATGGTAGCATGGTACCATTGTGAGCACCTGGGCTGGTGGTCAGGGGGGTGTATGGTAGCAAGGTACCATTGTGAGCGTCTGGTCTGGTGGTCAGGGGGGTGTATGGTAGCATGGTAGCATTGTGAGCACCTGGGCTGGTGGTCAGGGGGGTGTATGGTAGCAAGGTACCATTGTGAGCACCTGGGCTGGTGGTCAGGGGGTGTATGGTAGCATGGTAGCATTGTGAGCACCTGGGCTGGTGGTCAGGGAGTGTATGGTAGCATGGTAGCATTGTGAGCACCTGGGCTGGTGGTCAGGGGGGTGTATGGTAGCAAGGTACCATTGTGAGCACCTGGACTGGTGGTCAGGGGAGTGTATGGTAGCAAGGTACCATTGTGAGCACCTGGACTGGTGGTCAGGGGGTGTATGGTAGCAAGGTACCATTGTGAGCACCTGGGCTGGTGGTCAGGGGGGTGTATGGTAGCAAGGTAGCATTGTGAGCACCTGGGCTGGTGGTCAAGGAGTGTATGGTAGCATGGTACCATTGTGAGCACCTGGACTGGTGGTCAGGGGGGTGTATGGTAGCAAGGTACCATTGTGAGCACCTGGGCTGGTGGTCAGGGGGGTGTATGGTAGCAAGGTAGCATTGTGAGCACCTGGGCTGGTGGTCAAGGAGTGTATGGTAGCATGGTACCATTGTGAGCACCTGGACTGGTGGTCAGGGGGGTGTATGGTAGCAAGGTACCATTGTGAGCACCTGGGCTGGTGGTCAGGGGGGTGTATGGTAGCAAGGTAGCATTGTGAGCACCTGGGCTGGTGGTCAAGGAGTGTATGGTAGCATGGTACCATTGTGAGCACCTGGACTGGTGGTCAGGGGGTGTATGGTAGCAAGGTACCATTGTGAGCACCTGGGCTGGTGGTCAGGGGGGTGTATGGTAGCAAGGTACCATTGTGAGCACCTGGACTGGTGGTCAGGGAGTGTATGGTAGCAAGGTACCATTGTGAGCACCTGGGCTGGTGGTCAGGGGGGTGTATGGTAGCAAGGTACCATTGTGAGCATAATAAGTTAGTGAAGCAGTAAGTTAATGAAACAGTAAGTTAGTGATACAGTAAGTTAGTGATACAGTAAGTTAGTGATACAGTAAGTTAGTGATACAGTAAGTTAGTGATACAGCATTTAGTGATGCAGTAAAGTAGTGTAACAGTTTTGTTAAATAGCGGCTAATACATGAACTTAGGGCTGATCTTGGCTAAAATACTTGGACATGAATGAACGTTGATTACCATAGACAAAGGTTAAGTTGATAAGCCCAAACAAAAAGCAGGTTCCCACTGTCGCGTGCAGGAACCGAGGACGCACCAACATTACATCACAGTATGTAGTGATATGATCACTACATACAAAATAGTAACAGGAATTGATAAAATCGATAGGGAAGATTTCTTGAGACCTGGAACTTTAAGAACAAGAGGTCATAGATTTAAACTAGCTAAACACAGATGCCGAAGAAATATAAGAAAATTCACTTTCGCGAACAGACGGTTGGAACAAGTTAGGTGAGAAGGTGGTGGAGGCCAAGACCGTCAGTAGTTTCAAAGCGTTATATGACAAAGAGTGCTGGGAAGACTTGACACCACGAGCGTAGCTCTCATCCTGTAACTACACTTAGGTAATTACACTTAGGTAAATTACAGGTCGAGGGAGAGATGGGAAGGTTTACCACATGAACAAATCCACAAGGGCCGTGACGAGGATTCGAACCTGCGTCCGAGAGCATCCCAGACGCTGCCTTAATCGACTGAGCTATTTGGTCAAAAGGAGTTGAAACCGAAGTTCTACTAAACTTACTGGATCCTGCTCTCTGAGGCACAAACCAGGGTTTTACACAGTCGATTAAGATAGCGTGTGGGGAGCCGGTCGGCCGAGCGGACAGCACGCGGAACTTGTGATCCTGAGGTCCTGGGTTCGATCCCAGGCGCCGGCGAGAAACAATGGGCAGAGTTTCTTTCACCATATGCCCCTGTTACCTAGCAGTAAATTAGGTACCTGGGTGTTAGTCAGCTGTCACGGGCTGCTTCCTGGGGGTGGAGGCCTGGTCGAGGACCGGGCCGCGGGGACACTAAAAAAGCCCCGAAATCATCTCAAGATAACCTCAAGATAGATGCTCCCGGACGCAGGTTCGAATCCTCGTCACGGCCCTTGTAGATTTGTTCATTTGATGCATCACGCAATTGTGATTTCGGTGTGTAAGGTTTACCTCACATTTGGCTGGCTGTATGAGGGGAAGCAATTCACGAGGATGCTGTTGAACTTGAGACACTTGCTGGTCTTGAGACGAACCCACAAAGTATTTCGAGAAGCACAAGCTACCGTATGAGTGTTTGGGAGGATGATCTACGCATGATGGCTGCGGGGGACACTTTCTTATGGGATGTAAACAATGGCGGGAGTGTTTGTGCTCACTTGAGGCAGTAACTGGGTGAGGTGCCTCACTAACTAGGGCACAGTGGACACTGCGGCATATCTAGCAGTGCTTCGCTACAGATAACCTCTACTTCACAGATAAACATTCGTTTATCATTGTTATCACATCACGCACATGCACACACGCACAATTAACACACACACACACACACGAGAGAGAAACAGAAAATGATAAGGAAGTGTGTGAATTACCTAATACGTGTTTGATGATATTTTCAAGGTAGAACCTGGCCTACACAGTTCTGGGTCACCAGTATAACTATGGATCACCAATTCAAATCTGGTCATCAACACAGTTCTGGGTCACCAATACAGCTCTGGGTCACCATCACAGTTCTGGGTCACCATCACAGCTCTGGGTCACCATCACAGTTCTGGGTCACCAATACAGTTCTGGGTCACCATCACAGCTCTGGGTCACCATCACAGCTCTGGGTCACCAATACAGTTCTGGGTCACCATCACAGCTCTGGGTCACCATCACAGTTCTGGGTCACCATCACAGCTCTGGGTCACCATCACAGTTCTGGGTCACCATCACAGTTCTGGGTCACCATCACAGTTCTGGGTCACCATCACAGTTCTGGGTCACCATCACAGTTCTGGGTCACCATCACAGTTCTGGGTCACCATCACAGTTCTGGGTCACCATCACAGTTCTGGGTCACCATCACAGCTCTGGGTCACCATCACAGTTCTGGGTCACCATCACAGTTCTGGGTCACCATCACAGTTCTGGGTCACCATCACAGCTCTGGGTCACCATCACAGTTCTGGGTCACCATCACAGTTCTGGGTCACCATCACAGTTCTGGGTCACCATCACAGTTCTGGGTCACCATCACAGTTCTGGGTCACCATCACAGTTCTGGGTCACCATCACAGTTCTGGGTCACCATCACAGTTCTGGGTCACCATCACAGCTCTGGGTCACCATCACAGTTCTGGGTCACCATCACAGTTCTGGGTCACCATCACAGTTCTGGGTCACCATCACAGCTCTGGGTCACCATCACAGTTCTGGGTCACCATCACAGTTCTGGGTCACCATCACAGTTCTGGGTCACCATCACAGTTCTGGGTCACCATCACAGTTCTGGGTCACCATCACAGCTCTGGGTCACCATCACAGCTCTGGGTCACCATCACAGTTCTGGGTCACCATCACAGCTCTGGGTCACCATCACAGCTCTGGGTCACCATCACAGTTCTGGGTCACCATCACAGTTCTGGGTCACCATCACAGTTCTGGGTCACCATCACAGTTCTGGGTCACCATCACAGCTCTGGGTCACCATCACAGTTCTGGGTCACCATCACAGCTCTGGGTCACCATCACAGTTCTGGGTCACCATCACAATTCTGGGTCACCATCACAGTTCTGGGTCACCATCACAGTTCTGGGTCACCATCACAGTTCTGGGTCACCATCACAGTTCTGGGTCACCATCACAGTTCTGGGTCACCATCACAGGGTCACCATCACAGTTCTGGGTCACCATCACAGCTCTGGGTCACCATCACAGCTCTGGGTCACCATCACAGCTCTGGGTCACCATCACAGTCCTGGGTCACCATCACAGCTCTGGGTCACCATCACAGCTCTGGGTCACCATCACAGCTCTGGGTCACCATCACAGCTCTGGGTCACCATCACAGCTCTGGGTCACCATCACAGTTCTGGGTCACCATCACAGTTCTGGGTCACCATCACAGTTCTGGGTCACCATCACAGTTCTGGGTCACCAACACAGTTCTGGGTCACCATCACAGTTCTGGGTCACCATCACAGCTCTGGGTCACCATCACAGCTCTGGGTCACCAGTACAGAAGGACAAAGCAGTATAAGAGGAGGCCTTTGTTTATGTTCTTGCAGAGCAAATTGGATTAGCCGAGTCAATTAACGTGATGCTAAACGTTAATTGTGAGTTAATTGCATCATTTGGCTTAATGAGCCTGTCCTTGGCTTGATGAACACGCGCCGCCTCACCCGCCAAGGGAGTCATTACTGCCAATTACTGCCACATGGGAGGCTATTGACCGAGTCATGTCTTGCTATTTTTGGTGGATGTGAAGATATTGACCGAGTCATGTCTTGCTATTTTTGGTGGATGTGAAGATATTGACCGAGTCCTGTCTTGTTCTTATTGGTTGATGTGACGGCATTGATGAGTTGTTGTTGTTAAAGATTTAGCTACTCAGGACGAAGTATCCATGTAGCACGGGCTATGGTGAGCCCGTAATGAGCTCAGGGAGGTGATCCCCTGGAGGTAATGGGTTCAAAACCACTTTGTAATTAGTGCTATTATCTACTCTCTACCCCATGGTTAGGTTACGTTAAGATAACGTTAAGTTTAATTACGTTTAGTTACGTTAATAAGATGAATTTTTTACAACAATGTGAAATATGAAATTTGAAAACTATTTGTGTACCCTAGAATTTATTTACAGAAATCCAAATTCTTCAGAAAGTCTAAAAGAAAACGAGTTCAGCATATGCTTTTTATATTTTAAACCAACGTTTTATAGTACAATAAAGTCATAACTCGATAATCTCTGTTTAGGACAAAAATTCACTTGTCACTTTACAAGTAGACTATTATTGGAACCGTAATATGCTTTAAGACCATCAAAAATATCCAGATAACTAGGTGATTTGAAGAGGGGAGGGGGGGGGGGAGTGTCTCGTGAAAATGTTCTGGGCCCAGATTCACGAAGCAGTTACGCAAGCATTTACGAACCTGTCCATCTTTTCTCAATCTTTGGCGGCTTTGTTTCAATTATTAAACAGTTAATGAGCTCCGAAGCACCAGGAGGCTGTTTATAACAATAACAACAGTTGATTGGCAAGTTTTCATGCTTGTAAACCGTTTAATAAATGTAACCAAAGCCGTCAAAGTTTGAGGAAAGATGTACACGTTCGTAAGTGCTTGCGTAACTGCTTCGTGAATCTGGCCCCCCTGGGAACGCGGTGCTGTGTGATCCGCCCAGCTGGACTATCTTAGCTACCTTCTTGCCTCTCACAGTCATCATAGTGCTATAATGAGCTCGTTCAATCTTTCATCTGCTCCAGAGTGTCTCCCTTAAACAGCCTTCCACTACACGAATTGTCTCCCCTAAATAGTACGTGGAGTTTACATGGAGAGAGAAGTTTTGTGAGTTCCTCTACTCCCCGAGCCCGCTATTGGGGCCAGGGTCGAATTGTGATAACTTGGTCCAACAGGCTGTTGCTTGGAGCGGCCCGCTCATTCACGATTGGTTCGGTACTTCTTGCAAGAACTTATCTGAATGCTTCTTGATGACTTCCATTGCAGTAAATGTCTCCGCTAAATACCCTGCCATTACAGTAAATGCCTTCACTAAATAGCTTTTCCTTGCAGTAAGTGTCTTCTGAATAGCCTTCCCACCTGTAGTGTCTCCTGTAAATAGCCTTCCCCCCTGTAGTGTCTCCTGTAAATAGCCTTCCCCCCTGTAGTGTCTCCTGTAAATAGCCTTCCTACCCCTGCAGTGCTCTAAATAGCCTTCCCCCCCCCCCTGCAGTGTCTCCTAAATAGCCTCCCCCCTGCAGTAAATGTCTCTTCTAAATAGCCCCCCCCCCTGCAGTAAATGTCTCTTCTAAATAGCCCCCCCCCCTGCAGTAAATGTCTCTTCTAAATAGCCCCCCCTGCAGTAAATGTCTCTTCTAAATAGCCCCCCCTGCAGTAAATGTCTCTTCTAAATAGCCCCCTCCCTGCAGTAAATGTCTCTTCTAAATAGCCCCCCCCCCCTGCAGTAAATGTCTCCTCTAAATAGCCCCCCCCCCCCCTGCAGTGTCTCCTAAATAGCCTCCCCCCTGCAGTAAATGTCTCCTCTAAATAGCCCCCCCCCCTGCAGTGTCTCCTAAATAGCCTCCCCCCTGCAGTAAATGTCTCCTCTAAATAGCCCCCCCCCCCCTCCGTAGTGTCTCCTCTAAATAGCCTTCCCTCGTGGCTAGTGTCTCCCCTGACTGACATAGCTGGAGCCGCCTCCATTATTCTGATTAACCACTTGTCTCTCCCCGGGGTCGTTAGTGGACCGTCGGTAGTTTTCACCTCCACAATTTCTCAGAGTTTGTCCTACAACATTTCCCTCCATCACATGACTGTAGGAGTTATCGTGATGGTCACGGAGCCTACCTCAACCCAAATTCAAATTCTTTATTCAGGAAAAGTACATATGTAGTTGATTTATAAACGTAAAGTTGGATTAATAGAGCTAGTACATACAAGTTGACCACACACTAGATGGTGAAGGGACGACGACGTTTCGGTCCGTCCTGGACCATTCTCAAGTCGATTCAGGCCTTGTACATACAATACCTAAAGGCACTAATATGCATAGTGTCCCTTACATTACTTACATCTCTCATTATCACCATACACCGTTCTCTCTTCATCATTTCTCCTCTTAGTACCCCTATACACACACACTTCTTTCCCCCACTCTTTCATTTCCCTTTCTTTTTCCTCCTGTGCTTTCAATTAAATTTTCTTTTATATCCCCTCCTTCCCTTCTCCGTTTTCTGTGTCTCCTTTCTCTTTTTTGGGTTGATGGGTGACTTATCCGGCCACTCGAATAGCACGTCGCATTTTGACGTTTAAATCCCACTAAGGTCAATAGCCGATGTACTATAAACGGTTGGCTAAATTGGCCCGTTTTCTATCCGTGAGTCCTGGGACAGGTTAGGTTAGGTTTTAGTCCATCAGTTTAGTGATGCTGCGAATGTTATGGAGGAAGGGCTAGTTTCATACGGCCTAGAGTGCATACCTAGTTGCACTCACCTAGTAATCACCTAATTATATTCATCTATTTGTACTCACTTTGTTCTCAGTTGCACTCACCTAGTAATCACCTAATTATATTCATCTATTTATACTCACTTTGTTCTCAGTTGCACTCACCTAGATGTACTTGCCTAATGGTGGATGCATGAGTGTGTAAGGAGTGTGTGCGAGGTATGAGGAGTTTATGAGGTATGAGATGAGGGGAGAGTGTGTGAGATATCAGGAATGTGTGTGGTGCGGA